CGCGGGGGAGAAAGGGTGTGGGGGGTGGGAGAGGGTGAGGAAAAGGGGGGGGGAGGAGAGGGAGAGAGAGAGAAGTGGCTAAAGTGATACAAGGAAAAACTTTTCTATTGACATTATATACAAGTTATCAGAAATTGAATTTAATATATGAAATCTTCTATTCCAAATTTTCTATTGCTGAGAATTATATAGGTATAATTGTAAGGATCAAGAGTAATTATTTACAAAAAATTATAAAAATTTGCTTTTTTTTTCTTTTTTTTACACATTTTTATATTTACATTTTTATATATTTTTATATTATAGTATAACTTTTCTTCCTTCTTGCGAAATACATTTCTTACATTAATATATATATTTTTTATGTATTAATTTTTTTATACAACCAAATCAAATACATTTTTCTCATAAAATTTTTAACACATCAGAATATAAAAAAATAATTATTATTTCTTATTTATTATACTTTTTTTTTTTTAATGATGGGGAAATCCTTTATAGATAGCCGCAGCCTTCGGGGGAAGAGCTACAGGTTATGTGGGAGTCTCCCGGGACATTTATTTCCCGGGCATACCCACTAAAACCCCACTGGTGACCCACTCTGGCCGTGATGGGAGGGTCCGGGAAACCGCCGGAGACATAACTTCCCGAACCCGCCCGGCCCGCCGCTGCGGCCCGTCCCGCCCGGGCGGATGGACTGCCCCGGCTGCCCTGTTGGGCACTAATTCTGTTTGTGGGGGAGCAGGGTCACCTCTACTCCCCCACGCCCTCCTGGTGTTGTTGGGGGGGGGGAGGCGGGATTGGTGTCTGGACCCCCGTCTATGCACCAACTTTCCTCCGGCCTGAGGAGGGGGCCGGCGGAAATCCGTCTGACCCTCCACCCTTTAGGACGGGCTATCCGTGGACAGGGGGCGGAGATGCCGAGATCTCCGCCCCTTCCCGTCCTCTGAAGTCTACGGTGGGAGCAAGAGTGCTGTCCTCTAGACCCACCTCCGCAGGTGGGCGGGGAACCGTTTTCCCAAGCCCGGCGCTCGCTTCTGCCTGCTCCGCCGGGAGGAGGGAGCTACCTCCTCTCTCCTCTCTCGACCTTTTCCTTCTGCGACATGACATGTTTGCAGAAGGAGAAGGCCGCCTTCCATTTGTCCTTTCTTTCCAGCACAGTTTTTACTAATGCTGGGAGGGAGAGGTCCTGCCCCACCACTGCGACCAGGGCTCGGCGCTCCTCTGTTCACGCTGGCAGATCTTCAGCGTGTGCTGCGCCAAGTCCCGGTCGGCCGCACTGTGGTGGCACTGCGTCGTGCGTTCCCTTCCTATACGACACAGGTACTCCCCGAAGCATCCATGCCCGGAGAGCACCTGTGTCAGGCGGTAGGACAACCCGCCTTTGCCTCTGCCCATCCACTCGGACAGGCAGGGCCGGATGGCCTCGATGGTCCGACGGCCCGGATATTGGGATCATCCAGCTGATTAGCCGAGCTGGTGATTGCCCTCGTCCGGGCGCGCCTCCTCATTCTCTCAACGGCCCCCAGGACTTGCAGGGCCTGCTCCCCGTTCTTATTTATCATACTTATTGCAGTTTATCATAACATAAAATATCACTGTTTATCACAGCATAACATAAACTTATTATTACTTACCGCAATTTATCGTTACATGAAATATTAATTATAAGTCTATCCTTTTTTGTTTGCACCATATTCAACGCATATACTATCTAATTTTATATTGATAAAGCTGTTTTTCACACCGTGCGTAATTTTTTTTTATTATTAATTAGTTTTTATTATTAATTAGCAAAATAAAATATACTTCCTCCATTCTACAGGGTGCTTCCGGATTAAATGGCCAAACTTGAAATACGTATTTAGGACCTCAAAACAAAGAAAAATTTCCTTTAGAAGAATGCTCGCAAACGCTTCGTTCAAGAGATATTGGTATTGTATATAGGTCGAACTTCTTTATTGCTTTATAGCAGTGATGCGATCTTTCCCACAGCGGTCCCGGCTCCGCTGCCTCACACAACCTTACAGAAACGCTACGTCACGTATCCGTGTGAGCTCGGCCGTTCAACCAATGGAAGAGAGCGAACGTCTCTCTTCCACCGAGCCGACACAACAGACGGAAAATGCATGCTACTTGCATGTTAAAAGCAAGCGTTTCTGATTCAGAAAAGAAATTCTGAGGCGAGTGGCTGGAATATTAGAGATCACCTGTTCGAGACCTGCTTCGTGCAACTTTCTTTTCTTTTTTCCGCATTTGTTTCTAACATAGTAAATCATTAGATAATATTTTTTTGCCCAAAAAAATAATATTTTCTATTTATTATTAATATTCGCATATATTTAACTAACAATTTTAGAAATAATACAGATCTGCTATTGTCAATAGAAAAATGAAGTTATTTTACAATGTTGCAACAAAATGCTAATTTAACATATGCGAATATTTTTAATAAAGATAAAATAATTTTTTTTAGCCAAAAACATTATCCAATAATTTACTTAAAACAAATATCGAAAAAGGAAAAAATGTTACAAAATCAGTTTTTAAACACGAGATTTTTAATATTCTTGCCATTCGCCTTAATCGTTTAGCCATGCTTGCTATTTTACATTTATCAACATGAAAGATTACACACCTGCAAAGCTTTTAATTATTTATTTTAAACTACTGCATATTAGCAAGAGTTACTGCAGTAACTACATATTATGTAATCAGGAGACGCGGTAGTGTCTCCGGCCAAGTTAAAAAAATAACACTATTAAGTCAAGAAAAGTGTCTCTGGCAAAGTTCAAAAAATGACACTACTAAGTCTCTTATTCTGCGCGCACAAAGTCGACTTTTCGGGGTTGCTTTTTTGTAGCAACTAAAATATAAGAAATTTTAAAAAAACAGCATATTCTAAAAGGTGCCATCGCCACAAGTAATTTAAGCCAAAGAAATTACAATCGGTCCAGTCGTTTCGGAGATACAAGAGGTCAAAAAGTTGTATTTTTCATATTTTAATAAGAAACGTCGTCTTCTTCTTCTCTGTCCGCCAGGAACGGATAGAGAACTTGCGAGGCCCAGGGTATTATTTATAATTTACGGGAATTTCTCGCTTCAGGTGCCAAGAGTCGACGATTTCGACTTCTCCGAGTTGCGCTACAGGAATTCCTCGCACCAGGTGCTACGGGTCGACGAATTCGACTTCCCCGAATTGCGCTACGAGAATTCCTTGCACCAGGTGCCAAGGGTCGATGAATTTGATTTTCGCGAGTTGCGCTACGAGAATTTCAAACACGAGAAAGAGAGAGAAAGAGAGGGAGGGAAAAGGGAGGGAGAGAGGAATAGGGGAAAGAGAAAGAGGGGGGAGAGAGGGAAAGAGAAAGAGAGAAAGGGGGAGAGAGGAGGGAGAGAGAGAGGGAGGGGAGAGAGAGGGAGAGATGACATATTTTGATATAAAATCTAAAAATTTCTTAAAATATTTAGTTATCAATAATCTTACCGTAATATTTTTATGCGCAGAATAATGAAACAAATCAATTCGTGTAAAAAAATGCATTATTATTTTGAAGAAAAAGTATGTAATTTACAATGTACTTTTTTTTAAACAACCTGTCGCTGCCACACCTTTATACCACTTGATTCTCATTATTCTATTCATAAAAGTATTATGGTAAGATTATCCAGAACTTAATATTTTTAGAGATATTTTAGATTTTATATCGAAATATATCAGATTAAGATATAAAATAACTCGAAAAGTATGAAAAAGAACTTCTGAAAAGTATAAAATAGAAAATTATAACCTTTAATCTTGTTAATATTTTATTAACAAATAAACTGCCATGTAATAAGATTTTATTGGTATTAAT